TTATAAACATTATTAGCGATTGTTTCAACATAAATCTTGTGATCAAATTCAATATGAAACCAAACTTTCGAGCATTCATTGGATTTAACGGGTATTTCAAACGATTGTGTTTAATATGTGAATAAAACGTGAATATTCTGGCCGTTTGTCGCCACTCTTGCCATTGAAGTACCCATTGAATGGCCAGAATAGCTGTGCCCTCAATAGATACCACACACGCTATCAGCGATCGATTGCCCATAAGGTATAGAAAATCACATAATAGGGCCGACACGACCGGCCCCTGGAATAGTACACTCAAACCGGCTCTCATTAACGTCAAATAACAGCATAATTTTAATAAGAATATACAGAATATTCTGTTGGAATTTAATGTGTGATTAACGTAATCGTCTGTGGATTCATGTAATGTTATGTAGTTATCGCGTGTAAACTTGTCCACTAGGCGTAAAGCAACATGAACCTTTGTTTCCCGTGTAATGAACCTGGCGATTCTTTGCCAAACTTTTCCCACCATGTTTAATTTGATCATGTTTATTCTGCTATATGTTATGAACAATATTTTATTAAATATATTTTTAATTTGTATGTTTATATAGTCATGGTTTAGTGAACCTCTAATAATATCTATTTAGATACTATATTTATTTAGATATTTAATCAAACAGACATTGCACTCATTAATTTATTTAAATGTAAAATTATTTATTTTCTATCACACGCTATCTCACAATTAATATAACTTTACAATCTCCATTTAAATGTCGTTTACATTGATTGATAAACAATTACTGTATAAGAAATACAGAACACTACAAAATACCATAATAAAATAGTAAAAATAATGACAGCTCAAACAAGGGTCACACGCAATACTTTTAATATTGTTATTTTGAGAATTTTAAAAATTTGTAACATCAATTATAACATCAATTATTGACAATTAGTTTTGTCCAAATTGTAAGATTTAATTAAAATATTTTCAAGCATTACCCCTTTAGAATAATAAGTTACTCCCATAGACTTAACATTACTCCTTGGACTTGCAAGTTAATTAGCATAACCTATAAAATTACCATTACTCATAGGATAACATTGATCCCCAGAGTAAAATTAAAAGTAGGCATATCTGTTATGAATTAAAAATTGAACGATAATAAAATAATAACAAATAAATGAATTGTGGTTAAAAAATAAAACATAATAAATAAACGCCACATATTATCTCTGGCCTCAGAGCTGAAGAATGGCCTCGACTTCTAGATCGACACCGCGTGGAAGACTTGACACCTCTATACTACTGCGGGCCGGATATGGCCTCTGGAAGTACTTCTCGATCGCGCGGTTAACGGCCGGGAATTGTCGCAAGTCTTTGATAAAAACGGTTAGTTTGACGATACGGTCGAGAGAAGCGCCGGACGCCTCGCAAACTGCCCTTAGATTGCGGAACACCTGTTCGGTCTGCGCCTCAAACGGCGACAACACTAACCGACCCGACGCCGGGTCTATCGCGATCTGTCCCGACACATACACCGTAGAGCCCACTCGTATGGCCTGAGAGTAGGCGCCCACCGGCGGAGGCGCCAATGGGGTCTTGATTTCTTGTTTCTCTGAGTGGTGTTTAAAATTGAAATTTAATTTTTTTTAATTGTAACAATATATTTATGTG